AGCTCTGTTTGGCAAGTTCTTAATAAGAAGACACTTGCCAGAGCGTCAGAACTCTTTTTAGCACACCAAGGAAACCTCTTTCTTTATCGGAATATGCCTAGAATAACTTTTACAAGTGGGGAAAAAAAATCTTGGGAAGCAGCTCTCCCCAGTACATTAGTCCAATTTGAGATTCTGGAGCTGTTGATGGCAGTCTGCCAACCCTGGCTAACTGGTGCCATAGCCTCCAGATGGCTTTGTTGACACCTCAAAAGCCCTTGCATTGGGGCTGTTCAGAGACCCATACAGGAGAAAAGAGGAATGGAAAAAAGATGTTGCCAAACACTGAATTACATTTGGTGAGCCACAGAAAGCTCCACCTTCTCCATTCATACAAGTTTCCTGGAAGCTTTTCATATCCAGCTGTGTGGTGCAGCTAATCCCAAAACACAGGAAAAGCATGCTGGCCTCCTACAAAGCCTTACCAGGGTAAGGCTTTGTGTGGTGCTAAATATACTGTCTCTAAAGACTGACCGTCAGGATCCTTTCTTACTCCCAGGGTTTTGGACTGTTGAACCGAAACAGAAGCAATATCCAGGAAGGAAAGAACAAACTGCGCTTGTTGGAAGCTTGGCACATGGTTTTTCAGTTGTAGCCACCTAGCATGATGAATGCTCACGCCAAAGAAGCACAGGAAGTCCATGAAAGCTTATTACTATTACAAGCTGAAGGATATTAAGAGTTAGATTTTTCTCTATTTAAATAAATACTTGGGATGTTAATGTTTACATTAAGAGCTGATTTCCTGCAACAGTTGACTTTTGGTTCAAATTTTAATTTCTGGATGACTCAAACTGCTGCATACATACCGTGTGTGTGTGTGTGTATATATACACACACACACACACACACACATACATTGCATATGCATATGCGTATGCATATGCGTATACATATACATGTACGTATATATATTTAATGCCACATGGGAGAAGCTTTGTTTTTCTCTAGATCGTTTTTCCAGAACACTTTCAAATCGGGAATAACCTGAATTCCAGTTTAATTGTTTAGAGAAAATCATACTATAAATTGGCATCTCACTTAAAATTATTGGTTAGGAGCTGTGCCATAGCAAAACTAAAGAAGAAAAGTATTTCTAATGTTTTGCAAAAATAATCCCTATGTCATTTCCACTTTCCAAAAAAAAGGATAATTCTAAAAATACCATGATTGGAGTAGAGCTATCCCAAAAACCAGAAAGCTCAAGGCACATCAATTTTGTTTTAAATTCATTCAGCCTTTCCATGTGATATGAATCCAGCCTAAAAAGAGTAGGGACTGCTTACTTGGAATATTATTTAACATTTTTTTATACTAGTCCAGCATAAACTTAAGGTAGTTATTCATAAATTCTTTGAAGATCTTTAAGTTCTCATTCTGAATTATATATTAAAGCAATGACTGAGCATAATTTCCCTTAAACCAATCTAACAAACGCTTCCCTATATTCTTAAACCCAGCCACAGTCATCTTCCAGTCATTTTAGGAACCACAATGAAGAGGCAGGATTGCAATCTGTGTTAAAAGAGCTATTATGCCACCTGCTGGTTTCTGGATAAAATATAGACTTGGATTGGATTTTATATTTTTGTCAGCTTTTGTGTTTTGTGTAATGCTATTTTAGAGAGATTAATTGAGATTACCACCTCTTGCTACAATACATTTTGACACAAGGATCAATGTAAATATTACAGGTTTAATAGCTCTACCTTTCCTACTCTTCCAATTTAATTACTTCAATGACATTTGTGAGCTGACTTAGTCATGTATGGATTAGTTCTGTTACACTTGTTGATGGACTACAATTTCTGGTCTAAAATTTTAAAAAATGAAAGCAACCATGCTGATTATGGCAGGTAAAACAATTCATATCTATATTAAGGCAGAAATATTGCAATCCAATAGAAGCTTATGAAATAATATTCAATTCTTAGAGTTTCCAAGAATTTTTCATCAGAATCAGGTTTTTCTATCTGCAGACAATTCCTACTATTTTTAAGACTGTAAAGTAATATAGATATAGCTTGGAAACTCAATTTACTTCCCCCTTTTCTGAATTTTAGCCATCTTACCATGTAGCAGCAAATACATGGTAAATTTAACATTGGAACAGTACCCTTCCATTATGTTATTTTTTTCAGTTCAACAAAAACATAAATGGTATTTTTATTCTTGGATGTTTCATAATTAGTTGTTGGTAATGTACAGTATATTTCAACATTTTTTCATGCAAATGATCTGTAGATTTTTTTTTATAATGTAGTCTGCAAATTTTTATAGAAATATTTATGAAATCTGCTTTAACAAATGGTTCCTAATAAAATCCATTTGCTTCCAATAATTTTAATCACTATTAATAAAATTGCACACACGCATGCATGCACATACAAACACCAAACATACAGGTGAAACTTGAAAAATTAGAATATGTACAAAAGTTCATTTATTTCAGTAATGCAACTTAAAAGATGATACATACATACATACATACATACATACATACATACATACATACATACATATGAAATATATGAGATAGACTCATTACATGCAAAGCAAGATAGTTCAAGCTATGATTTGTCATAATTGTGATGATTATGGCTTACAGCTCATGAAAACCCCAAATCCACAATCTCACAAAATTAGAATATTGTGAAAAGGTGCAATATTCTAGGCTCAAAGTGTCCCACTCAGCTAATTAAGCCCTAACAGCTGCAAAGGGTTCCTGAGCTTTTAAATGGTCTCTCAGTCTGGTTCAGTAGGAATCACAATCATGGGAAAGACTGCTGACCTGACAGTTGTGCAGAAAACCATCATTGACACCCTCCATAAGGAGGGAAAGCCTCAAAAGGTAATTGCAGAAGATGTTGGATGTTCCCAAAGTTCTGTATCAAAGCACATTATAGAAAGTTATGTAGAAGGGGAAAGTGTGAAGAAAAAGGTGCACAAACAGCAGGAATGACCGCAGCCGGGAGAGGGTTGTCAGGAAAAGGCCATTCAAAAGTGTTGGGGACTTTCACAAGAAGTGGATTGAGGCTGAAGTCAGTGTATCAAGAGCCACACATAGATGGGTCCTGGACATGGGCTTCAAATGTCATATTCCTCTTGTCAAGCCGCTCCTGAACAACAAACATCATCAGAAGCGTCTTACCTGGGCTAGTCTGTTGCTCAGTGGTCCAAAGTCCTCTTTTTTGATGAGAGCAACGATTGCATCTCATTTGGAAACCAAGGACTCAGAGTATGGAGGAAGAATGGACAGGCACACACTGCAAGATGCTTGAAGTCCAGTGTGAAGTTTCCACAGTGTGTGTTGATTTGGGGAGCCATGTCATCTGCTGGTGTTGGTCCACTGTGCTTCATTAAGTCAAGGGTCAACACAGCCGTCTACCAGGAGATTTTGGAGCACTTCATGCTTTCTTCCGCAGATGAGCTTTATGGGGATGCTGACTTCATTTTCCAGCAGGACTTGGCACCTGCCCACACTGCCAAAAGCACCAAAACCTGGTTCAATGAACGTGGGATTGCTGTGCTTGATTGGCCAGTAAACTCACCTGACCTGAATCCCATAATCTATGGGGCATTGCCAAGAGAAAGATGAGAGACATGAGACCGAACAATGTAGAAGAGCTGAAGGCCACTACTGAAGCATATTGGTCTTCCATAACACCACAGCAGTGCCACAGGCTGATAGTTTCCATGCCACACTGCATTGAGGCAGTAATTGCTGCAAAAGGGGCCCAAACCAAATACTGAGTGCATATGCATGCTTGTACTTTTCAGAGGTCCGATATTGTTCTATGTACAATCCTTGTTTGATTGATTGCATGTAATATTCTAATTTTCTGAGATGGTGGATTTGGGGTTTTCATGAGTTGTAAACCATAATCATCACAATTATGACAAATCAGGGCTTGAACTATCTTGCTTTGCATGAGTCTATCTCATAGTTTCACCTTTTAAGTTGCATTACTGAAATAAATGAACTTGCAAGATATTCTAATTTTTCGAGTTTCACCTGTATATGAACAGAATTTGATAAATTTCTATTATTTTACATATTGCAATTTGGACTAAGGCAGCAAGAGACCATATACATCATTGCAAAAAAGCAGTAAGGTCATTGCCAGCCTCTGGACATAAGAGCATGAATGAGTTTGGACTAATATTGCGTAGGGGAATATTCTACTATTACAAGGGTAATGTGGAGGCTGTGGATGATTACAGTGTCAAATGAAATAGATTAACAAAACTATGCCATTTAGTATCATTTGCCCAGATCTGGTAGTGCTAGTTCAGCACATTGGCCTCTCTTTCCTCTGCTGGGACTTGATTACCTAAACCTCACATCCATGTTACAATCTGAATTTTCAGCTCCCACTTTTCTCATGCAGCAGTTTTAGTAAAGATTTCTGAAAACCTAACTCTTGGCAAAAGAACGTACTGTTTACAAATCTGCTCTTGAAGACTTGAAGACTGAAAACAGGGTCCCCCCTTTTTCTGAGGACTAGATTACAGAGTGGTGACCTCATTCTTTTAATCAAATGAATAATCTTTTTAGGAAAGCTCAGAAGACATAAATAATTTCCTTATTTGGTTAGTAAAGCATAAGACTTTCAATCTTTCTTCTATGCCAATAATATAGGATCCCCTCTGGAACATTTCTAAATTAAAGCATTAGGCTTTAGTAGATATTCTTATAAATAGTTGTTTTGCGTTTGTTAATCAAAAATTGGACCACCATTTTGAGATCGTATCTATACAGTACAAACTCCCCTTTTGTACAAATTACTTAACTATGCAAGTTGGACATTTGGGGAAAGATGAAACCGCAGGATAGATGGGAACATTTAGCCTGACCCTTTTCAATCAATGTAGGATGGATATCATTACCTGAAGGGATATTCTATTCAATATTACTGCAGCGACTTATTAAGTAGTAAGAAGTGATCCGCAAAGTCATGTATTTCCTGTGTAGATATTTTATTCCACTCTGATACCTTCAGAATATTAAAGCTACTAGCAAAAAAACCCCAGCAACCCAAGAGAGGGAAAGCGATATTTTTAGCCAAGGACAAGTCAGAGGCATAACTGGAAACAACACTCAGAAGTAACATTTTTCTTCAATTAAGCCACATTGTTTGTTGTACATAGATATTGCTCTTAAAAGCTTGGAGTGCAAGGCATGTAGTGACCTGATCTATGCTTACAACTTCAGCAGTAGCTGTCCTAGCCCATTCACCAAGCTCTGTCAAAACAACATCCTTAGTTGCATAGGAACAGAAAATATTCTGAAATAGAAGGCTATATTCACAATATGTTGATGTTCTCATTTACTATGTATAAAACATAAAGTTCAAGAGACACTTTAGTTTTGCTTTAAAAAAAATATTTTCGTTGTTAAAAATCTCCAAGTCTAGTGGAGATAAATAAAAAAAACAGGAAAGCATACCCTTAAGCACACTTCACTATTTCTATATTAGTTTTTAAAACTTGAAATTAATAAATCTAGAAAGACTGTTCTTACATTGGAAGCAGGGAAGGGAGCCACACTCTCCAGTGTGGTCATTGGTAAAGATGTTTTCCGACCATTTTCTACCTAGGATTTTGTACAAGTCTAGCAGGAGAGGCTGCTTAGCTGAGTCTGTTCTAATGACTTGGATGATTAGCTTTTCTAATTTAATAGTGAAAGAACAGAAACCTCAATATGGAGCACATCTGTTTCTGGTATAGTTTATGAACTGCAGGGACTCTCAATGCAGTCCCATCATCCCTTGGAAGAAACAGAGCTTGTAAGCTGAGCATTATGCCTCTGCCTCTGTTGAGTTCCTTCATGAAGTGAAAATAGTGGCCGTGACAACAGAGTTTCTTAGTCATCTTGGCAAATGCCTGATTTCACCAACCTTTGGCACCACTTCAGAGTGTCACTGCATTATTTTAGAAAGCATTGTGTTGAAAGTTGAATTAGGGATACAATTCCCTTTGTAACTTTCTCACAAGAGAAAAGCAAAGTAGTAGATGCAGAACTTCCCAGCAAAAAGAGTGAGGCTTTCTTGCAAGATCAAAATCAGCCATAGCCAGTGAAGAGAAAAAGACTAATTGATCAGGAGATATAGCTGAACTGCAATCCTGCCTCTTGCTCACTCCAAAGGCTTGACAAGCTCAATAAAATCACTAAAACATGCATGCAGTGAATGAACAAACATGCATCTGTGCCCATTGACTTGCTTTTCCCCATTTCCTATAATGCTGCTATCAAGACCTATGCTAATAGCAGGAAATAGCCTGCTTCCTGAAGAAGCTTTGACACGTAAATCTGAGAGAACATAAATCACAGGATATTGTTGGGTCTGTTGCCAAGAGGAAGAAGAAAGCAGGTTCTGGACTGGATGCGTTGGCAAAGAATGGATAGAGTTGATGGGACATCCTATGTCTGTAGATCTGACATATGGAAGGCACTCAGGATAGCCCAGTCCCATCTGCTCGTCTTTATGAAGTTCCATCACTGTATTAGCCGCACATTGTGAATGTCAGCCACTGTGGAGAAAAGAAAGCAACAAAGAAACTCAGAATGATATACTAGGCTATAATCTGCTCTATTTTTCAGAATTATGGAGGAATCAAATGTTAAAGGTACTTTAATTGTCATATGTTGTCAGAATGATTTTTTTTTCATATAGACCTCCACATGTCTTTCCTTTTTCCTTGGATATAGAAATATCTTCTTGGATATTTCATCACTACCTCAAAAGTAAAATAACCAAACCAAAACTTAGCTTTCTCTCAAGTCTTTCTTTCCTACAATTCAATCATAACACTATTATCTATCAAAATAGGACTAAACCTTGTTTTTTTCCTTCCATCTCTTCTAATCTGCTCATTTTTTCTGCCATATCCAGTTATGTCCAAAAGATTCTAAAAATAAAAGAGTAATAGTTAAAAATAAATGAAAACAGTCTTAACTTCCTTACCTCACCAAGGTTCATCACAGCACTCCCAGAGCCTTCTGGATCCAAACTACGGAAGAATCCTGAAAAGTTTTTTAAAAATAAAGAGAAAAGTCATTTAGATAAAAGGATTTTTATTCCAGCTTTATCGTCAACTAGTTCCACATAGGAGCTCACATATCAAACCTTGGACAAAGGAATAGATAACCACTAAAAAAATGACTTAATTTTGGTAATAACCCAATTTACTTCAGTAGCTTCACAGAGTTTCATTTGGGGAGCTAAAATGGTTGTGCTACATCAAGCCCTATGGAGGTTTAAATGAATTGTATAATCAGCTGATTTTGGAATTCATTTATACCTCAACAGGAGTTTCCTTCTTTCCTCCTCTCCCTCCCTCCATCCCACCCATTTTACAGTTTAAGGATTTGGTGTAGCAAAGCTGTTTTTTTTTTTACAGTCTGATTGCAAGAATAAAGCAGAAATTCACACATCATGCTTAGAGATGAATCTACATGAAATGAGGGTTATTGATGGCCTCTGGAGGTGGCTGCCTTATCAGCCCCTTCACTATAAGCACTTACTGAACATAGTTTCCAGCTTGACTAGACAGCAGACAAAGTTATCAAAGTCCACACCCATTGCTTCATCAGCATAGCGTGCTACTATCACTTGATGCAACTTGTTGTCCAGTTTAAAACCTAAAGATTTAGAAATAGAACATTAGCCTTGGCATAGTGAAAGTCATGAGGCATACTAGAAGAAATTCAGGAAATGATTTAAAAATTCAGGAAAGTTGAAAAACATTAGGTATAAGCTCATTAGATGACATCTCTTTAGAAGGAGCCTAGAATCACCTAGTTGCTGGAATTGTCTATATTTATACAGAAGCAGGTGCTGTGAGTGAATTCCTGCTAGAGGCTGGAGGCAAATCCTACCATGTTTGGAAGAAATGCAGTGGTAATACCAACTTATTGATCTGCATGTACTTGCAGTTAAGAAATCACATTTTTTGTTTTTCCCCAAAAGCAAATACTCCTTGGAGTGAGTAAAGAGAGACTCCAGGACATGTTTTCCCTTAGAATCTTTCTTAGGAAAATCATATCTTAAATTCACAAGGGAGGGGAAAGGATGTGTCTATCTTGCTCCTCCAGGAAAAAGCTCTCTAATAGTGCACCATGAGTTATATTATTAAGTGAGGTTTTCCTTGGAGGAACAAGATTGAGTTGCTTGTTCATTTAATTGAACAAGCAATGATTAGATTAGCTATAAGAGATTAAGCCATGCTGATTGGGGACTTGAACTCTCAGGGCAGTGTCCTCAGAATTAGAGGAGCTAAAAAAAAATTCTAGATCACGTCTAGCTAAAAATAGAATTGGGAGGATCAAGCCTAGAGATTTCTATTGAATCATAAAGGCAACTAAGTCTGGATTACTGTTGGCACTTCCTGAAGATAAAAAGAGGAAAGGCAAAGCCACACCCCATACTTAAGAGGTATCTGAATGCTCAAGGCTTTTTCATTAAAAAGTTGTACAGTCAAGGGCAGGAGAAGCTCCACAGGCATAGTACAATGCTTATTTTGGTTTCTTGCGTTTCCAAACTATGTAAAAGAATTGGGCGATTCAGGCAGGAGCAGAAATGATTGTACTATCTGGAGCTTTGCACAGTAAGTTCAACAACATGGATAACATATTTTTATGCATCACAGAATTTCAATTCCCATGAATATTCTCAAATTCAAAGATGTCCAAATCAGAATGTGAAAGTAGCATTAACATCAGTGGCCAAGCACTTTCCAAAGTTCTCATAGCTAATCTGGGAGGCTGGAACCCAACCCATAGTATTGATTAGCTTCATTTTCCATGCTTGAGAAAGGGATTTCACTCTCCTTTCATCCTTTCACTCTCTATTGATCGTATTTTCCAGGTATAAAAGAACAATTGAACAAGGGAGGGATGAAGGAAGGAAAAGGAGTGGAGGGTGGAAGAGAGAGAAAGAGAAGGAGAGATAGTAGGAAAGGAAGAAGAAGAGTGGAGGAGAGGTAAGGGAAGAAGAAAGAGATAAGGAGAGGTGGGTGGAAGGGAGAGAAAGAGAAGGAGAGGTGGGTGGAAGGGAGAGAAAGAGAAGGAGAGAGGGTAGGAAAGAGAAGAAAGAGGGTAGGAGTAGGGGAGAGGTAAGGTAAGGAAGAAGGGGAAGGAGAGGAGAAAGGAAGGAAGTAGAGAAGGAAGGGAGGGAGGGAGAAAAGAAAAGAAAGAGAAAATAAGGTGGTGTCATAGCAGGTGCTAGGGATGGTAAACAAAGCAATCCAAACTATACCTTATAACCTTTTAAATGGAATAACAATAGTATAAGAATGGCAAAGAAAAAGAATAACTATGTGAATGTATATCTATAACTGTATGTAAGAGAATAAGTGACAGTAAAAATATAAAGCACAATGTAGGTAAATAATATTTGGTTATAAATAGCTAAGTATAAATAAATATAGAATTGTACATAAAAATGGATAATGAATAAGGAGATTATGAACGCAAGATAGAAATGTATAGAAGGAAAACACTAACTGCAAAGAAACTGATACGGAACTTATTGTTCCTATGTTGTTTTAAGTCATGTGTCTGTTTCTGTTGATGTGTTTATGTGTTTAAAATAAAAATTTATAAAAAAAAGAACAATTGAACAAATTATTATTCATTCATTATTCAGCATAAATGAAAATTCAAAATATGTAGCATAATCAATATGTCAGTCTCTTTGGCTGATAAAGATTCCTACACCTACCAACTCAGCGTTTTCTAACCATCCCTTCCAGACTCACCAGTTGATTCCAAGGCCAGACGCATCTCGTAAGAGCTCATAGTTCCTGATTTATCCAGGTCATGCTGGCGAAATACATTCTGCCCCACACATAAACAAAAAAACAAAAAAGTGCTTAAGATTACTTTTCCCATTCTTTAAACACCATCCTTCCATCAAAAGCTGTGTTGACCACACACATATGCACTGTATCTCTCTTACCAGCCAGTTCCTGATTTTGTTCCACAAAATCTGAAATTCTACAAGACCCAGACGAGCACTGCCGTCTTTCTGAAGAGCAAAATAGTCAAGGAAAGAACTTCAAAAAGTAAAAAAGAATGGCCTATAATCTGAAAGTGGGGAAATATTGGCAAGTTGATGGGAAAATAGTGCTCCACTTCTTTATGATGCCCAGAACATGCATACAAACCCATAAATAATGTTGGCAGGATTCTGGCCTTTCCATGTTCACCCAATAAACACACAAAATTACTTTATAATGCAATTGACTGTACAGAATAGCTATAGCAATAGCACTTAGTGCTTTACAGTCCTCTCTAAGAGTCAGCATATTGTCCCCAACACAATCTGGGTCCTCATTTTACCCACCTTGGAAGGATGGAAGGCCTGAGTCAACTTTGAGCCTGGTGAGATTTGAACTGTCAATCAGTCAGTAAGTTTTAAAGTCTAGACTTATTATTTCAATAGGCTCTTCTCAAACCAGGGGAAAAATAAAATAGCAGCAATCAGTTACTGGTAAGAAAAATGTGATGCCTAGCTAAAGCTTGTTTACAAAGCTTCTTGGCAATCACTGTTGTCAGTGAAGGGTCTTGAGTCAACATAATGTCAAGTAGTTTCATCTCATAGCTTAATTCCATTTATTTGTTCAGAATTTTTTCTCCCCAGTGATCAACTCTAGCTTCTTTATGCTATATCAGTGCTCCTATGGAAGAAAAAAAAATCTGAACAAGATAACAGAAGTAAAGATAAGATTTTTTTTTTTTCAAATGAGATCTGCAATTAATTTCCAACTTTAACTCTCCATCCATAACATTTGTAAAGCCTTACTACTGGTGCGTGAAAAGAGTATCAGGACAATATACAAAGCATGAACAATCTCTAGTCATAAACCATCTTAACATATTTCTGAACCACTTATCAGCCTAGAGTCCTAGACAAACTCTACACAGGAACAAAATAAGCTATATACTAGCTTAAATAGATCTGGATATTTTGCAATTCAAAATAATGTAGAAGCCCAGGTATTTCTTAACATAGGATAAGCTATATAGAATATATTTTGCTTGTCTGTTTTATTATGACCAGGAAATCCCTCTCATTTATAACAAAGAGGATACATCCATTAGATTGACCATGTTGCGACAAGAGTCCATGCTGAATCCATCAGTCTTCAGATCTTTGTCTAGACAAAGGAAGAAAAAGAGCCACAATTATAGAGGAAGCTATTTCTAAGGTAACACTTGGAATACATATATGGAAAGGAAGATGTAACAATCTCACTCCCTATAATCGTGGATTGACTAAACAGTACTTACGTCTAGCAATGACTCTATTCAAAATAGTTCTGAGTTCAAAAACACTGATTTCCATGTCCTGGAATAATGGAGAACAGAGAATTAATTGCTTATAATAGTTCAAAATCCCACTTTCTTCTGAAAGTAGATTACTGATAATTTCTCACATATTGACACTACCTAGGGCAGTCTACAAATGAATATCAAGAGATGGCTGTAACACACTGAGGAAGATCATAACATTGGATACAAAGATGGGAATTCTGACTGTACACTTGCAGCCCATATAATTTATTCCAATAACAACCACTTTAAAACATTATCATGATATATGCATTTTTAATAAACATTTGTTTTACTTTCCCAAGCTTTTGATGATACAGATGTGCTTTTAAGTCTCACTTTATTCCCACAATATCCTATGAACCAAATTAAGCTCAGAGCAGATTTACCTTGAAGGCAGTTATATCAACGAGGTCTTTGATTTAAATGTACAGATTGTCCATGACTTATGACCACAATTGACCCCAAAACTTTGGTTGTTAAGTGAGACATATATTAAGTGAGTTTTGCCCCATTTTACAACCTTTCTTGCCACAGATTTTAAGTGAATCATTGCAATGATAAATTAAGTAATCCAGGTGTTAAGTGAATCACTGCAGAAGGTAAGTTAGTAATTTGAATGTTAAGTGAATTTCCCCCCATGGATTTTGCTTGTCAGAAGGCTGCAAAAGGTGATCACATGACCTTGGGACACAACAATGATCATAAATATGAACCAGTTGCCAAGCAACAGAATTTTGATCACATGATCAGGGGAATGCTGCAAAAAGGTCGTACCTGTGAAAAATGGCCGTAAGTCACTTTTCAGTGCCATTATAACTTTTAACAGTCACTAAAGAATACTAGATAGATATAACAGATTAACAGAGTTGGAAAGGACCTTATAGATCATCTAGTCCAACCCCTCTGCTCAAGCAGGAGACCCTACACTATTTCTGACAGACGGCAGTCCAGTCTCCCCTTCAAAGCCTCCAGTGATGAAGCTCCCACAACTTCTGAAGGCAACTTCTGTTATATCTATCTAGTATTCTTTAGTGACTGTTAAAAGTTATAATGGCACTGAAAAGTGACTTACGGCCATTTTTCACAGGAACGACCTTTTTGCGGCATTCCCCTGATAATGGGATCAAAATTCTGTTGCTTGGCAACTGGTTCTTTTTTATGATCAT